TTTGTGACCACAAAGTAATGTTGTTGAATGTAGCAAAGACCACCTCCTCCACTTCACGTGCTAGATCCCTTGTTGTTAGGTGTGTCCACTGAATGTTGACCTGATTCTGACAGAATAGAATATTCCCACTAACTCCAAAGTCAGCAGTTAAAACCACCCAGAACTTCAAAGGACAAAAATGAAGCTGTTGCTCCTATAAAGATTTATAGATTCAGAATCTCTAAGGAGAAGTTTTGTTTTGTCCTAGAGAGTCACTATGAGCTGGAATTCACTTAATGATAGTGAATTTATCTCTATTTTCAGGAGAATAAACTCTCAGCTCTCTCTCCCAAAGAACCGCTAGGCTGCTTTAATTGAAATCACCCACCACTAGGTTAGCAGTTGAGTGCTTAACCATTACATCACTGGGGCTTCTTTCCTATTATTTACTAATTTTAGCTTTCCAGTGCTAGCCCAATCTCCTAGTGTTTCAGGAGTAGGATCTCCCCAATGAAAATCTCAACCATATTATTCTACCAACTACACATGGCAACAAGGCGCAAAGCTTCTTGCTGCTAGGCTCTACCAAAGTCAGCCCTTGGATGCTACAAATAGCCTACAGCTATCCTAATCTTTTCAGTATCGTTGGGAGAATGGAATGGGAATGATTGCAGCTCCTGGTAAAGTCAGCCTCAAATCTAGTAAACACCACCATTCTTCACTATTTCTAGGACCTGTTTTGTTGCTTATTGGTGTCTGACCTGAATGCAATTGTGCCTCTAAGCCTAGCCTGCATAACTTAAATGCTGTGATTCTATGAAAATATTTCCATTTACAATTCTACTTTTTTTGTTAGGTAGAGGGAAAACTCAGTTTTTCATTAACTATTTTTAAAAGGTTCACATAAAGGTTCACTTCCATTTTCACTTAAAAAAAGGAAGGTTGTGAAGAAGTGGACGCTTCAGTTCTATCCTCTACTTCTAGATATTTATAGAAGCTTAATATAATATTTAAATATTATATTTTTAATATTTAGAAGGGACCAAAATATAAAATAATAAAGAAAAAATAGTTAATAAGGCAATTCTTTGACCAAATAAATGCTAGTTAATTTTTTAAAATTTTATTCATCCTATGAGAGATTTTAAGTCTTTCAGTTCCCAGACTGGACTAGAAGAGAAATGGAAGAAGACTTTTAGAGTAAATAACAGTATAAAGATTCAATTCATCTGAAAAAGATAAAATTTAATAAATCAGCCATTTTAAGTATGTAAATTATTTTAGCTAGATTGGGAAAATAAAGTAAATTAACAAATGTAACAGAAGCAAGGATGACCCACTACATCTGAAGATTTTTAATAGCTATAGAAAAGGACTAACTTTACAAATGTCTCTTTAGAGTCCTGGCACTATATAATGTATAATGAGAAAATAACTGATGGTGAACAATATCATTAAGGTAAAACTTCTGTCATAGTCTTTCTACAAACATGAGAAAAACATCAATGAACCCAAATTAGGAGACATTCTACAATATAACTAGGAGTCCCGAGGGTCCAGTAGGTGACACATTCGCTGCTAGCCAAAAGGTCAGTGGTCCAAACCCCTCAGGTGCTCACATGGGGGATAGGCGAGGCAGTCCACTTCTATAAAGTTGTACCGCCTATGCGGGAGAGTCCAGGCATCCTCAAACCACGGCCCGAGGGCCACATGCAGCCCACCGAGGGTATTTAACCGGCCCGCCGGGTGTTTTTGCCCAGTTTGTTTTTTTACTTCAAAATAAGATATGTGCAGTGTGCCTAGGAATTTGTTCATAGTTTTTTTTTAAACCATAGTCCGGCCCTCCAACCAGTCTGTTTAAAAAGTCTGAGCACCCCTGTGGGAGACCCTACCCTGTGCAATAGTTGCACTCTCTCCTATAGGTTTGCTACGAAGTAGAATTGGCTCAACAGTAATTGGTTTGGCCTTTCGGCTTCAAAACATTTCATTAGTACCCCTCAAAACTGTCAAGGTCATAAAGGTAAAAAAGACTAAAAACTACCACAGCCCAGAAGAAACGGGGCATATGGGAACTCTGTGTACTACAGTGTCTTTGAACTTTTCTGTAAATCTACTAATATTCCCTCCAAAGTGCAATTTTAAAAATGTATGGTTAAAAAGGCTTCCATTCAGGATAATAAAATTATAAATATCTAATGATTATTTACATATACAGAAAAAAATCAAAATAAACTATAGGGCCTAGGGCCAGGATGCTTGGCAAAGGTGTAAACTAAAATAATTTATATTTATATTATAATTTATACTACTGATTCTTTATAAAACAGAACCCGAAATATATTTTAGTAACAGGTAAATGAATTAATTTATAAATAAGATTATGCTGACAAATATTACCAACTGTTGCTTTGTTTTTTAACCACTTTTACACTGAATGACAGTGGGCAAAGGAAAGAGAAAAGCAAAGAGTGGCAGTCGATATTTAATTATTCTCCATGTGTTTAATTTTGGTTAACTTAACAAAATAAATGATAAAAATATCAAATATTTGAGTTTATGCTATAATATTTGTTTCCAAGCCAAGACCAGTTTTGGCTACCTCTTTAACAACCTAATGTAAAGTATAAAATTGAAAACATATTTATGTTCTTTTAAAACTCCAGAGAACCTTTACTACTTCTACCCTAAAGATGGCAGACTTCCACTTCTAGGTGGGAAAGAACCATTTGTGGCAGGCGGGGCTCCAGCCACACGCAAGGAAAGCGAGGCTCTGCACGTAAAACTCCTCTGTTTCAAGGGGCAGAGGTTGTGCTACTACAACGACTTGAAAAGAGGGGTTAACTCACCGAGAGAGGCGATTTGAGGCTCTGGAGTCATTTTTTCCCTGCTGGAAATTTGGCGGATTCTAAGCTTGTCAGAGAAAGAAGCCAGGTTTTGGGTAGTCCTGCATTGGCTCCAATGGGCAAAATTTAAAATGGGAGCCCGATTTCACTTCATCATCTCACTTTTAGGCCTCGACAGGACAGTGAGTTAAGAGCCAAGGCGCAAGCCTATGAAACATGATGACCGTTGGGAGTTTCTACCATGGCGAGTGCTGAGGAGCCAGAGACTCCAATACAGAGACGCATCTCCCAGGAATAGCAGCCCTGGTCCCAGGGCATGCTCAGCCCTCCGCTGGTAACTCAGCACCACCCAGAGCCCAGAGGGGAACAAAGCACACCCAGACTTAAAACTTCACCTAGCTCCCAAGAGGGATGCAAAGTCTTTTGGGTGGCTGAGAGAAATGAATTCATAGGAAACTTTTCATGAAGTAGGAGAGACAAAGGACAACTGACTAAATGATCAACTTGAACAGGTGAAGAAGAAAAAAGACGTGAACGAGCCCTGAAGTAGCGAGATTGACCTCGGAAATCGGCAGAGGACCTGAGTGCAGATGCAGGTAGGTTAGGAGGTGAAAGTGCGGAGACACGTAGAAGCCCACCGTTTTCGTGAGGCGTGGGAGGAGGAAGATGGTGAAGGAGAAAGGAGATAAAATAGTACACTGGAGGAGAGAGTGGTGGACTAGCCAAGGCAAGAAGATTCAGGGAACACCAAAGGCTTACTTGAAGATCATGGCCACAAACTTAAATGTGTATGATTTTCTCTGGTCGAAGCTGTGAGCAGGGAAAACCAGGCAGAGAGTTGAGTGTAAGTCCATTTGGATTTTGCTAGGTGAGTAAGAAAAATGAAGACGGCCAACTGTGGTACTATTACATTCAGGTGGATGAGAAGAATGGGCCACAGAATCTAAGCAAAGGAGAAAAATGAGGACCTTAGGGGTTCGAATAGAAAAAAGGTAGTAAATAGAAAATATTCTATGGGTGCCCCAAACCACTGGCATCAAATTGATTCCGAGTCACAGGGACCCAATAAGGCAGAGTACAAACTGCCCATAGGGCTTCTGAGGCTGGGAATCTTTAGAGAAGCAGATGCCTCCTCCTCCGATTGCAGAACAGCTGGTGGGTTTGAATTGCTGCACTCTTGGCTAGCAGTCCAATGCTTAATCCATGATGCCACCAGGGCCATCTATAGGCACCAGTGCCGTTGGAAATTTTCAGAGGTAGGAATCTAGAATGAGCTGGAAAGATAGTAGGTGGTGCTTTAAAAAGTGGGGTAGGTGAAACTGAAATCAAAAGTGACCATGGCGTGCAGAGCCGAGGGAGTGGGGAGCACACTGGAGAAGTGGAATTCAAGGAAACCAGAGGCTATTTGAATGCATTCTCTAGATAGACATTTAAATCACTAGTCCATGTGATGGGAGCAGGCTGAAGAAAGTCAGAAAAGGATGCTAAGATCTGGGAAAATAAAGTGAGGGGTGACACAGGCGTGTGCAGCTGACTGCCACAGCGTGGTTATGCTGGTGCAGTCGGACGCACGAGTTTTAAAGACGGGGCGTCCAGGGAGGGCACGAGAAACCCTGGTGTAACAGCACTGATGAGAAACAAGCCTGCAGGCCCAGTGGTATGACTGGTGTCAAAGAAGACTACGGCCACTTCTTGAGGGGGCGTAGAAGCAGTATCCTCAGGGAAGCAACCAGGTTTCAGTTACAGCAGGAAGGTGAAGGTAATGATCAGGGAAGAATACACTAATAATTTGATTCATTTATCAATGTTTACTAAAAGGCATGAAGTTAGATACTGGGAATCAAACAGTAATAAAAAATAATCTCAGCCTTCAAAACACTGAGACTCTAGTAAGTCATTTCATATAAAACTGATTACTTAATATATATATATATATATATATACATATAACTAAAAAATTTTGTAACAAGTTTTAAGAAATAAGGGTGCATACATTTGAAGAGTGATGTTATTTTAATACATCCAATGTATTAAAGTCTTATTTTAATACATCCAATAATTAAGGTAATTATTATAGATTTAAAAAGTCATGTGAATGAAGTACAGCTGGGCACAAGCAATGTTTTGGGAGTGGGTCGCGGTCTGAGTGTATGCTTTTACAGACACACGCAGAAGTACCTGAGACAAAGCAGCGTCCCGTTCTTCTATCACGGCGTTCATCTCTTCTACAGTTATTCTCTTTTCACACTCCTTGGTCTTGCAGATTCTATCCACAATTACAGCTCCATTCTTCTGAATAGCTATCCCTGTGTCGGCATTGTTTATTCTGTTCAGTAATTCCTGTAATGTCTACCAACACCATTATATGTTAGTCAGACATGAAGTTTTAATATATTTTATTTAATATAGGGTTTTAATTAATAGGCACATGTGAATTGTAAATTGACTGAGTGAAGTTATTGAATTTTCATATTGCAGCAAAGATGTACATTATTAGTGTGTCGATTCTTCTTTTTCCCACATCTTAGTTCTTGAAACCCACTCAATTGAACTTAAGCCTCTAAGATATAAGACTGACATCAAGAAATCTCCTCAGAGAATGGCTTACCATGTCATTTTCTTCAGGGTTAATATTTTCTAGCCTAGAAAAAAGGGACACAGAAAGCCTCATCAGTAGCATTTCCTTAGTGCAGCAAAATGAGTTCGCTTTTTAAATCTTTAGAACCTCAAGTAATTTCATTCGACTAGTCTTTAGAGTCGACCATGACACTGAACATATTAAAGTGCCACCGCTCGACTCCGTCTTTCAATAATGCTCCATATCTTCGGCATGAATTCAGACTGTTAAGTTATTAATATTTACTGCTATATATGACTACAAGGATCAATTGTTCATATGTGCTCAGATGAAGAAAAGTCCCCCAGTGGCAGAGGCACTGCTTCTCATCATTTTATTTATTCCTGGACTTCCCATTCTTATCAGACATTATATTTCCTCTCTCTTTTAGACACGGTCACAAATAAAGCAAGCCAAGCGGGGTTTTTGTTACTGAGTTTAACTATGTTCCCCCGAAAGCAACGACAAATAATTACCACTAAACGTGATCTGACAAGCCTTTGCTGATACATATTTGTTAAAACAAATACACTGTACAGAGACGCTGACAAGAATGGAGCTGGGGTTTGGGATTGGCTAATATTTTCTTTTGCCGAAATTTGTACATAATTCTTTTAAGACAGAGAAAAATAATCTGGTCCCTCTAATAAGTGTTTTTTGTCTTATACGAGTTACAGTGTTTGCAAAATTCTTATTGATATTGGTGAATTAAAGAGATACAGCAATAAATATAACAAATATTCTCAAATGTAAAATTCATTATAAAAAATTTAAGCAACAGTTAGATGGGATTATGTGAATGAATATCTGCAATAGGTATTATTAAAAAGATTGATTCTATAAATGATCTCCATTATTTTGTGATTGTACTAAAAACATGTAGCTGTTTTCTCATTTTTTTAAAAAAATGTAGCCTCTATGATTTAATAACCCCACACACTTGAGCACAAAATATTACTAGAAAGAAAGAATAAAAGACATAAATATATTACAAAACAATTCCCAACTCCACAATTCAATGAAATCTCTCTATATTCTATTATTACTTCTTCACATACTTAGGCAGAATAAGTTAGCAATAGGGTGTAATAACTTTATATTACACATATTAAATATCAAATCACTAAGGGGTACTACTAAGATTTACAGTTATGTAAGGACAAATGCTCTCTTATCTTTTTCTCCCAAAATTAATCAGCAGTATTCAAAGATACTGCGTCACTAAAGCTTGTCTGAAAATAACTCTGAAGATCACTACTTCTTTTTAACTCAATTAAACAGCATAGCAGAAATGGTGTAATGAAATTCGTATAGCTTTATTTACATTCACAGTAAAGTAGTTGAAGAACATCAATAGAATCTGAGCATTAACTATTGGTTGACTCAATATTAATTTTAAGGAGGCCATATTGAGAAATATATACCTTAGTGTTGTTCTCTTTAGATGAAATTAGACAAAGAAATAATTAAGGGAACTTTAAAAGGAATTCCAGTACATTTCTGTGTCAGAGTGACTTTACTAAACTTCATGATTTAAAATGTGTTAACATACATGGTAATTCAATATTTAAATTGGCAGATTCCTGCAAACCTTCACTAAAGAAATCACATTTTTTCAAGGTAATAAATTTCTATATTTAGTTTTAAATAATTTTATAGGACAAGGAAGATAGTTACATAGGAAGATTACCCAATTTGTAAATCCAAATAATCAATATAACAAAAGTATAAGGAATTTCAAAGTGTTAATTATAAGCTGTCTTCCGGCATTGCAATGTGAAGAATTATTATTTTCAGGAGAGGCAGATGGAAAGTATAAACATTTTAAATTAACATCTTTCACTGAGACATTTACACAAATATTAAAAGGTCTGGCAACAACTAAAAATTTTAAACATCAAACCCAAATCTTACTTTGAAGAGCCAGTTATACATACGGGTGGTTATTAAGAAAAGAAATATAGTAGACCTCTACCCCACAAACTTATCATTCATACTTAAAATAATTTATGTGATTATCTCTAAAGATGCCTAATGGGCAGTGATTTGCCATTCTCCTGATGTATAAAATGTGAGCCATGTTTCTTGGCAAATGTGCCGCCGGAGCAAGCACTAGCCATGTTTCTTGGTGAAGCTAATGCACAGTTCTAGTGCTTAGGACTTAAGTCAGTCAAGAAAATTACTTCGTGTTTGGGGCTCAAGTGAGCGTTAGTACTATTATTTATAAGTAATGTAAATATAGTATTGAACGACTATTAAGAGAAAATTAATACTTTATGAGTTAATTTGGATTTGAAAATTACACAAGAAATATGCAACTTTTAATAGAAACAAGTATCTAGAAAGGGAAAAGACTGATATTTCTCTAACTGTATTTCTTGAAATATCTCAGGAAGCATTTTTCAAACACAGAAAGAACTTCTACTTCCTACTTTAGTCTCAACTATGAATCTCTATCTATTATATAGTGCTGGAATCAGCCATCATTTTCTGTAAAATCCCAGATAGCAAATATTTCACGCTTTGCCATATGTCGTGTCACAGGCATTGAACTCTGCCCGTGCAAATGCTAAAGCATCTCTACACATACGCAAATGCCTGGGTGTGGGCAAGTTCCAAGAGAACAGTCACAAAAACATGTGTAGCAGGCTGGATTGGTACCCTAGTCCTTAGTTTATCAATCCCTGATAGAATACGAAAAACTGAGACCAAATTCTTGTTGTTAATACACTTTAAGTACTAATTTGATATATTTGTTTGTCTGAACTGCATTATTCAATATCTAGTTAAAGAGTAAGAATGAACAAAATTGGCTTATAAAAAATTAATTTCAAGCCTAGAGTAGGCACACTTATTTATACAACACAAAACTTAGAAGAAAAACAAACAAATACAAAAATGCTAAAATAAAAATATTTTTGTTAAAAATAAAAAGACAATTTAAAATAAGAATACAAGGCATTCAATTTTCCATATAAAATAACTTTGAGGAGATGCTAAAGTGTTAACAATAGATTCTATAACATATAAAGCTTTATGTTGATTTTAATAATTAGCATTATATAAAACTTATAAACTACACATAATTAATATGAAGTCCACAGTTACACGAACGTATTTCAATCTTGCTTCAACTCTAAAGTAAGCTTACAACAATCTAACTCGAGATAGTCATGATAATGAGTAAGAATTGTGCTGAAGTAAATGTCTATGGGCTCAAGTTTCAATTGATTTCCTATACCATGCAAATTTTGACTGACAACTTTGCCCTCTCGGTGAAAAGACCCATACATGAAATGTCACATTTCTTGATTTATCCCTAAATCGGTCAATATCAGCTTTTTCCATTCTGAACTTAATAGTCATTCACCTTGTTCAGTGGTGGAAAGCAAAACATCGACCTCATGAATAAAACGAATCACTGATTCACCTGACAGGAAAATTACATACTGCTTGTTTTTATTCTCTGTCTCATCTTTAAACCTAAATTTTTAAAATAACAACAACAAAGGGAAAAATGTTGTGAACTCAAATTTGAAATACACATATAAAAACCTGTATGCTTTAATTTTTATATGTAAGCCTTTTAAACTTGAATCCTTTCGACTCTTTTTCTAGTTGTGCATAAAGGAAAGAATGAAGAAAAGCACTGGTGACTAAAGGCAGGTAAGGGCAAGCAGGGAAGTAGAATAATAACAAGACAAAGCAGACACTATCAGAGAGGCCCAAAGTCGTTAAGAGATGGCAAAGAGGAGAGGAATTTGAAGATCATAGAAGGCAAGAAATAAGGAATTAAAGCAAAAGTGATGTACAATACTTTATAGTGGTATTGTACACTGAATCCCTCCAAATATGCCTTTTCAGGTAGGAAACTGTCTGTCCTAAGAAGGGTCTGTTCTAAAAACGCACTCTTGAAGATTCAAAACCTGTAGACTCAGCAACAAAGCAGAAAAGCCTGAATAGTATCATCTACAACTATGCTGACACATAACGCTTCATCTATAAAGCGTTTCCTGACCACCACTTGTACCCCATGACTATGATCCCTCTGAAACTAACCCTAGGAGCCATATAAATACTTTCCTTCATATCAATGTGTATGCAATCATTTATTTAGTATTATTTAGATGATTCTATATTCCTAACTACATTGGAACCACATGCTCTATTCAAAGTAATTAGCAGTGTACCTGACTCAAAATATGCATTCAATACATATCTGTTGAATGAAAGAGTTAATTAAAAGAGCAGGCTTGGAATTGAATATTTTCCCTGTCTCCTTTTACCATCTCTCTGTAACAGTCATGTTACCAAGAAGAAAATAACAAAGACTGCCTCTAAGAGTATCAAGAAATAATTTTTAACACGTAATAAAAACTATAACAAATGTATGCACAAGGTCAAGTACAGAGCTAAAGGTGAAGAAAATAATAGGAAAAAGACAAATAGGTTCAATTTATATCTATCAGCTAAAAAGAAAGAATGAATGAAATTAAGATACTTATTGAAGGTGGATTCGGAGGAAGAAGTCTTGGCTTGGATATATGGGCAGATGGTTGTGCCGCTGATCGGGACAGGGGATTAAGGAGGAGGAGAAGGTTTTGAGAATAAATTAATAAGTTCTGTTTTGGAAATGCTAAGTTTGAGCAATCCATGTATAAATACGAGTAGAAAAGTCCTTCAGTGGGCAATTGGTTGATTTTAAGGGTCTCTGAAGGAAGTGGTCAACTACTCTGGGATTTCTGATATATGAATTATAAATATCACCTATCTCAAATAGTTATGACACTGCATGAATACTGATTTTATTTTTTATTTTTGAAAAGCATCAAAATGTACTTTGATCAAAGACTCATGAATAAAATTAGTGATAAATCCAGGTAACAGAATTTATGGCCATAAATTATTTATAAATATAACACTGATAAGTAGCTAATAAACTGAATGTAATAATACTTGTGAATCCCTAAGGAATTCTAAACTTATTTTGAAGAAACATATTTTTTAAAGCATTAGTCACAGAGAGTTGGTTTTTTTTTGGTGCACATAAGCAAATGGAATCTGAAAAGGCATATGGAAAGTTAAAAGTACTAAAATATCCAAAATAAATTCCATAGAAGAAGAGAAAATTTAGAGGACTGATATTACCTGATTTCAAGACTTATTATAAAGCTTCAATCATCAGGACTATGCTGGATTTATTGGAGGATTAAACAAATCAATAGATCGTAACACAGAAATTGACACAAATAAATATGTGTTTTTTGAAAATGGTATAAAAGAAATACATCAAGAGATGACAGCCTTTTCAATAAGTGGTATTTTAACATGTGAGGGCAAAAAAAAAAAAGAAAGCACCCCCTTATATATTTCACAGCTTAAACAAAACCTAACTTAAAATGGGTCAGAGAACTAAATGAAAAGAGTAAACGTGTAACTTCTAAGAGTCAAATTTGTGTGAGTTTGGAATTGCCAATGGATTTTTTTAGACTCGATACTGAAAGCATAAACTACAGAAGAGAAACCTGATGAGGTGGATTTTATCAACATTTAAAACTTTTATTCTGTCACTCTTACGGAGAGGAAGACAATATTTGAAAACATCTCTGATAAAAGTCTTTTATCAATAAGATGAGAGGACTTCAAGAAGTTCAAGGCAATATTCCAGCATCTCCAAAACCATTCTTCATAAGCTTGGGAGTCTCTTTGTGGTAAAGTGAATTTACTTACTTATGGCTCTTCCATCCAAGCTTTTGTAACTCCCACCAAATCATTGGTTGGGACCATGCCGAGAAGGTGTAGAAGACTCTAAAAAAAACCTAAACTTGGGGACGGGTCAATTTCACCAGTCCTCGACATGAGAGAGACAGCTCAGAAGAGCCACCAGTGGAGCACATGTGAGAGCCTGATCTGAAGTGGTGGCAGCAGCAAAGGCTGCAGCACCAACTATGGACCAGAGAGGCAACACCAAGACTGGGAGGCAGGGGTCAAGAGGCCATGTCGCTGACCGCCTGAAGACCAGAGAGAGGCATGGCTGCTGGCCATGAAGAGGTGGTGCTGTGAACAAAAGACTGTATCCTTCATGTTTTGTTTTGTTTTAATCCTTACTTGTGGTAATTTTTAACTTCTGTCATAAGCCCCCATAACAGTGAATATTATCTGTGAGTTCTGTGTAACCACTGCTCTGGAGCACCCGCAGCAATGCAGAGTGCTATGGGAAGAACCATCCGAGTCAGAACAGCGTAAAAGAAGGACGGCAGCATGTCTGACCTCTGCCTTGTGACAGTTGGATGGGACCAAGTCTGATTCTTTTCCTTCTGAAGCTAGAGGAAGTAGGATGTGGCCTCCATGCCATTTCTTCATCCTCATATATATAAAATTCTTCAAACTCAACAGTAACTAGTCTGCTTGAATCACAACCTCATCTACCTGAGACCACACTATAGATGGGGCATGATACTAGGGGAGAAAAATGTGGAATAGAACTCAAATTCTTAGAAAATCCATAATTACGGACCTGTTGAGACTGGAGGCCTTCTTGAAACCATCACCCTGAGATACTCTCTAAATCTTGAGCCAAAACTCTTCCATGAGTTCCTCTCTTAACTAAATAATAGCTTATACAATAAATAGTATCACCTGAGCATTCTGCTCCTTTAAAAAATTCATATATGAAATCAACAAATCAACACTCAATAAGATTACACATAACAAATCAGATGTTAAAAGATTGGTAAAGTCAAGAGAAGAAGGCAAGGGGCAGGCAAACTATATTACTGGAGACAGAACATCCAGAACAGAAATAATGAAAGAAGTTGACATAGCATGTAAAATATAATCAATGTCAGTAAATCAATTATGTAGAACAGGAGTCCTCAAACTTTTTACACAGGGGGCCAGTTCACTGTCCCTCAGACCCA